AATCAACCTTCTAAGTGTGAAGGTGAATGACATGCGTGTACTTGGTTTTGAAAATTTTCAAAGTTAAACATTATCCAAGCACACTAGGATGAAAGAGACGGCTAATGAATCATGCAATTGAATTTATGCCACTAAGTTCTCTATCCCCTAATATGACTCATAGCAATGCATATTTCAACTTTGATTTTAGGATGAAACAATTTTAATGCAAATCAAAGTGTGAATTACCATGATTGTCAAACAAAAAAATAAAATCTTTTTGACTTTTTCTTTTCCAATGTCTTTGAATTTTTCAATAAATGTCAAAAGAGACATCAAAACACTTTTTGGACTTTTGTATTTTTTTTGCTTTTGGTTTTTCAATTTCAAATATTTTTTTAATTTTCTTATAGAAAAATACATGATAAAAATAAACAAAATATATATATATATACACACAATGTATGACCCTAGGGTATTCGATGAAATTTATAAAATATCACCTAGGTCTATACTCTCCCATCTCCTACTTCTTAGAAGCCATGACCTTGCTAGAAGCAATCAAGGCCTCTAACTTGGTTGAGATGGTGGTTTCTCAAGATCCTTCTTAGTCACCCAAACTTGTTTTTCCTTCCTAAAACTCGGGTTAGGTCGAGGAATGGGTGGAGGACTAGCTTTCTTCTCCTAGGATGTGTGTAAATCATCTTGACCTTGTGGGTTGAAAAGGCTTTGGGCACTCTAGCATGTGGTCTATGTGATGATGATGCATATATATATGCTTAGACTCATGTGACCTCTCTAAAAGCTTATAAAAATTAACAACTAGATTGTTTAAAGCCTTAGATTGGTGTGCTAGATGCTCAAGCTTCTTATTTATGACATTCCTATTTTTCTTGCAATGTCCACTATGATGACCTTGTTCTCCACAAGTATAGCACAAATAATGATTGGTTTGGCTTTCTTCTACAACTTTCTTCTTTGAGTTCCTACCCTTATCATTCTTGCCATTCTTCTTTGAATTTCTCATGTCAAACCTTATTAATATTTGCTCTTGATCATACAATATATTAGGGACATAGTTCATCAATATCTAGAGTGGGAATTTGTTCATACGCAAGATTGCAAATGGTGCAGCACGTGAATTTGTTCTTTCCCTCTTCTTCATTTTTCCAGTTTTTAGTTAGAGGCTTTCTTAGTCTCATCTCTCTTTACATTTCTTTTATTTCCTTTCTACTTGGATTTGAACCCCTCTCACTTTTCCACCTTAGTTCGGTAGTGAAAAGTAAGTAGTCTTTTTTTTACTTTTTAGTGAAGGGTGAAGACATATATAACATTGTTTGAATTGTTTGAGTAATGAAAGTGTCAATGCTGTATTCATGCTTTAATGTTTATACATTCCTTAAATGATGGATGGTATACATTTATGTTTGGTATATTGTATTACTATAACTTAGGTTATGCTTATGGTTATGTGTACCGAGCGAGAATTATCGTTTAGTTACATTCCATCTGTACTTTATTAGGTACTTTATGCATGATACAATGATGCACGTAGTAGAGATTTATGTAACAGCTTGAGAGATTGGTTATAGACAAGTTAAGTCTTGTCATAGTCAATGTTTTTGATTCAATGCATAAACCGAAACTTTGTCTTCATTGAATCGTAGACCTACCAATCGATTAGCCATAGTAAACATTTTGAATGGTTCACCTTCGGGTTTACTAGGGTTATTTGGTTGTTTGATGCATAGACTTCCAACTAACCTAAATAGTTGTTATGACATGGTTCAACATATACATCGGACCTACCAATTAACTTTTCGTTAACATGGGAGTTAATTATCATAGTATGGCATTTTCATAATCTCAAGCATTAGAATGCATGTTGGATCCCCGAACTAAAAGGTACATTTGTCATTTGTTGTAATCAAAGTTTATTTTAAGTGTTTATTTAGAAATTCTTAAGCTGTAGTAATGCACATTATACGCACAACAATTTCACTCTATGCTATATCAAGTTTCCAATAGATAACTCCTTGAAGATTCAACCTCGGACTTCACCGAGTAATATTACAACTTGACCACTTATACTTGGGTGTACGATTAAGATCAATACATGTTTTTGGCGTGTTGTTGGAAAGTTATGATAGTTTGAAAAAGAATAGGGAAGTTGCCTAGATTGTGTTATATGTTTATTTCATTTTGTGGTTTATGTCTTCCAAGTCATTAGTAAGGTCTATAAATCAGTTTAGTCCATTATCTTCTTCTTCTTCTTCTTCTTCATCACAAGCATCTTCAAACTCTTTTAAATTAAGCATGGATAATAATAATCAAAGAAATCAAGAGAAGATTCAGAATGCTAGACCTTTAAGAGAATATTTGCATTCTACACGCACTAGCGTCCCCTCATGTTTTTTTTTTCCACAAATGCTTCAAATTTTAATATCAAAACAAGGACAATACAACTTTTACCACAGTTTCATATTCTTGAGTCTAAAAATCCTTATTTGCATATGAAAGATTTTAAGGAAGTATGTGGTGCATTACAAGAAGATTCTGAAACGGCATGATTGAAACTTTTTCCTTTTTCTTTCAAAGATAAAACTAAACAATGGCTAAATTCTTTAAAAGCTCAATCCATTTCAAGTTAACAAGTCTTACAAATTGAATTTTTCAATAAATTCTTGCCTGTACACCGAACCAATGCATTGAGATGTCAAATTATAATTTTTATAGAATTACATACCCCAAAAAGATAAGATAATAAATGAAAGGTCGTTGGATGTATATAGCTCAATGGCAGGGGGCTTGGAATTGCCCAGTTAATGACATGGCATTGCATCATGTATTGTGTATGGGGATGTGGGTGTGGATTCAGAGTTGGATATACATTCAAGAAAGATCATTCATGGCTTGACATGTTTAGTGACATTCTCCTATGTTACTCGTTGTGTATATGTGATTGTTGAGTGTTGTAGGTACATCATACCATATGCATTTGAGTTGGGAGGTATTTTCTATAGAAGATATCTTAGATTAGGCTCACCTCGTTGTGGGAATGTTTTTCAGGTACTACGCACACTTCCACAAATGGCCCTCACATGGGTCCACTTTGATGACAAAGCTGAGCTCAGACTCTTTTTTGGATATATAAATTTTAGGTCCCAATTGTAAAATTGATAGCTTCGTAGTATTTTGAATTATACAACATTGTATAATTTTTGTAAAGGCTTGTATATGTGAACTTAATGTAAACTCTTCTTTTGATTTTAATGAGTGGTTTACATTTGACCTTGTTATTGTTGTCTAATGCATGGAATGTATTAGATGTGTATGTTAGACCTTGGAAGGTCAATAGAAATTATTGTTGACTTAGCTTGTGTTTAGAAAAATTTATCCTTGCTATTTCATAATTAAGAACACATTGGAATTATATTTTAAGTTGCAAGGTGTTCCACATATTTTCATCGACTGTACATTTTCCCTCTGTGCATTTTCATCACTCTTTCTCTCTCTCTCGCCATGCGATGGACTGTCACATGTAGTTGGGTCTAACTCAACAATCTCCCCAGCCCAGCTCATGGGGAGGATTCAACCAAGCCCGCTTTCTATCTACAAATTTTAATATTTCATAAGGAAAAAAATTACTTAATATGAGATTTTTTTTTCTTTTTTGTAAAAAGAAAAAATTATTGTTAAATTACCTTAAAATTTCTTTATTTTTTCTTTTCCTCCTTTTTCCTCTATTACCTTTTTGTCAACTCGCTTTTCTCTTAAATCCCTAATAACCTAACATTTATTCCTCAAACTTTCCACCCATCACATAACACAAAAAAATGGAAAGAGTGTTACTTTCCTTTAAGATTGGAAAATCACTCATCTATTCTCCCCGCTCCCCCAAATTTTTTACTTAGTCAGATGCTTTTAAAAATTTTAAATCGGATTGAATTAAATAAATGTATCATGTCAAGATTGTGTTTCCATGTTTATTACTAATTGAATTCATTTATTTTTCACTTCAATTGAACATGTTGCTTTTGTGCGGCGCTTGGTTCGAATCGTGTTATGCTTACAATTTTGAAGGATGCAAGCCTTTGAAAAATGCATAACACTCATCCATCTGATGAAGGGGCTTAACTTTGGAAGTGTAGAGGGACACTTTTTGACATCTGATGAGAGTCGATGATTTTACCAACTCAATATAATTCCAGTGAGAACATGTCCTAACCAACATTCAACCATAGTCATACCTGAAAAGTAAAAACCAACAGTCAAAAATGGCACATAAAACACACATTCAGCTCAAGACTGGTAGAAAACTGATTTCAAGGGCACAGGTTAACCAACCAGTTGGTTCTCCACCCCCTCCTCATCTCAACATGCATGTCTTCCATTTTCGTTTCCAGCAGAGTTCTCTTCCCCTGAAAATTCATACACCGACACTGTTGAACCATCGATTCAGTTCATAAAGTCATTCACATCAGTAGCATGCTAAGTGAGAACATCCCTTCCCAAGCTCAGCCATTCTGGAGATCCAACCAAAGATATGAGCTCAGTTCACGCTGCACACCAGGTGTGTCTGTGTGTGTGTGTCTCTCTCTCTCTCTCCCACTTTGTATAAATTTGACAAAATTTCCCAGCAACTGATCTTGTTGGATATTCCTTCATATATTTTCGATGTATACATTTTACATCATCGGGAATATATTATCTATCATGTTCACTACAACATAACAAACTCGGAAAAAAGGGAAAAGGATTACATACATGCATGGAAAATCCAAAATTTATAATCTCTTGGGCAAGAAAATATCGAATTAAAATCTCCTTCTCCTCGGTCTTCTAGTTGATAGTTCAAATTGTAACGGTGAAAAAGGAGGCGGTATATCCGTCCCGGAAACTTTTACTTGTCTCTCCCTAGGTAAGTTGTTCAGATATTGTTAGTTAGATGCCGGGAGGAGAGAGAGCTCCTATATAGGGGAGTATACGTCATATGCACAAAGAATCAGTCCACTATCACATAGGAGAATCAAGTCTATCCATTTATTAAACGTAAAAAGGAGATAATTACACTGAAATATCACATCATTTTTCACAATGCTTGACAATTGTTTCTATTTGACAGATATACAATCCCCAGGGGAGAAAAGATTGATATTTCAGAACCCTAAGATTAGATCATCGCCCCATACAAAGTGGTCAGTTCTCCTTTTCCTTTCATGTTTTGCATTCTCTTTCAGGGGAAATCAGTATCACAAAAACCAACTTACCCATCACTTCCTTTTCTGATGTTTCTCTCCATCATATCACCTCTAGTCCTGTCAGCGAATGGGGTGGTATTGTGTGATCCCACGCTTAGGCGGCAACTTTCTTAAAATGAAAAGGACGAGAGCTGAAGGTAGTATCTCCACCACCTGTAGAGGAGGGGACAGAGAAAACATAAATGGCATAGTCTATCTCACAAAATAAAGCATGACACCAGCTCACTACTTAAAATTAATCAAATGTCATTTGGAATGCTATCAACCAAAAAAGAGAGTGATTTTTTAGGGTTAAGAAGCAACACCTCCTCATCCACCCACCAGCTTATTTTCACATATTAAGTCCATGTTCTTTTGTAATTTTTGTAAGCACCAGCAATGAAAAAATAACTTACCAGGTAATATATGAAGCTCAGAACAGGATGATTCAAAACATCGAGGTCTGCAGCTTTATCAAATGCATTAAAGCACATCTGTATAGTGGTAACAATATAAAGAGACAGAAATCAGACAAGCCTATATATCATGATACAGAAGAGCCTTCATCAAGAGCTTCAGCAGCAATGTGTTTTTCATCATAAATTGATGTCATCCAAAAAGTTCAGGTGAGACTGATCAATTAGCAGTAACATGATCTCAATGATAATGATATTGACTAGCAAACAAATACATGCAGGCTGGCATGAGCATGACATTGATGGATGGTATATTACTAAATAAGTTCTCAATTCATACGAGCATTACTTCCCTTGTAACTCATAGTTTAGCATACATAAAAAAGCCGGTACTCAGGCAAGTTACCAGCAATAAATGAACTCACCATAACTCCTCTAATGAGAAAACATGTAAAGCATATGGTAGTTACGTAGCCAACCTGAACAAATCAGAATACAGAAAATCAATTGCACATGCAAAGAGGAAAACACATGCGGCCAAAAACTAGTGCACGAAAGATATACCTCCTGTAGCTTATTACGCCTCCCTTTTGATTCTACAGGAAAGCGCTGCAACATTAAGAAGAGCCTGCATGAAGATGATACAAAAGGTAAGGACTAAGAACATGAGTCTCACAGGAAAGCACAAATATATATGAAATAGAATACCAAAACTCGGCAAACTACATCTAGAAATACAAATGAATAGTTCAAAACAAAAGCTGATCCAAATGATCACAATGGATCAGGCTCAGTTGGTTGGTATATGCTAAAAACAGAAAGCTTCTGGGTTCAAAAATTGGAAAACCAATCAACTGCATTCATTTCTAGTCATCCTATAGGGTTTACCAGCCCAAATTCAGAACTCACGCCTTACAACGGCCTATTGCTATAATCTCCCCTCACGCTCTATAGCCATCAAGTCAAACATATGTCAATAATCTCTAATATTTCATGTTCCAGTTCATTGATCAGAACATGATTACCAAGATCATGAATAGTGTATTCCAAAACCCGAGTGGATGGTGCTCCAACGCTTTCAAAGCTTTACTAATATAATAAATAAAGGAGCTTGAAAGCTTACCTGCCATAAGCACAACCCGAACCAACTATCAGTTATAGTAGTCGGGCAAGCCATGCAACCCTTTCATAAGGCGAAGTGAGCTTTGATTACGTGATCCTGAGTTCATTTATTGTCTTTTTGTAACCATCATCTGCAACTTCTTGATTTAGTCATTACTTTTCTTCCCACTCCATCCCCCTATTAAATATTTTCACATGATAATGTTTACCCAGCATGAAACTGGAGCATAATTACAGTTTCCATGTTTATTTTATTGGAAGAATACATATCACTAGGGGTGGTAATTTCTAACACAACACGTAATCACAACTCGAAACCGATATAAAATTAGCATAATAGGGTTAACCATTTCTCGATGCGAACCCATGAATGACACGACTTATTAATACAAATAATAAATGAGTTGGATCAATGTCAAACACGAAATTGATACGATTAACACATTTAACTAATATTATTGGAAGATGAATTTTCACTTATTTTTATTATTATATTTATTAAGTTAACAGTTTGATTAGAGATCATGTAGTATTAGATTTAAATCTTAGTGTTAATTTTTGATTTACAGGTTATATAGGTTAATACGAACACGACATGAAAATAAACAGATTAAGTCGACACGACACGATTAATTAAATGTGTTGGGTTTTGACTAGTGTTCAATATGAACACATAAATGACACAACACAGTACGATTGTCACCCTTACATATCACCTTCTTATAATCAGTGATAGGCTGAAGTTGACATGTTTCACTACGGAAAGCCCCTTGCTACACAAGTTGCGTCATCACATTCATTCAATTGGGTCGCCAAAGCAGTGATAATGAAGGCTAACAAGTGTATGAATGAAGTCGGAACAAGGATACTTTGGAACTCTTCTCCATCACTTCATAGCCGGAGCAAACACGTGGAGTTCATTGGAAGGGAGAAAGGTGGGAATGATTTCTTGCAATGCAACAAAACTCATGTCAACGGGGTCTTCAAGCATCCGAAATATGTTGGGGTTATAAATGACATAACGTTCCAGATAAAAAATAATGACTTTTTCAAAAAAAATGAAGTAACTCAAAAGTTCTTTTTCCCAAATAAGTCCCGCTCCGACAGCTCGACGAGTTATCTACTTAAAAGGACCCTCTCTTGTAGCTCATGCATATTAGACCTTCAAAGACTTAATGATAGGACTCTCACCTTTTTCAAAAGTGTCTACATGTTTTTTTTTTATAATCACCTAAATCCATAGTCGACAGGCTGACCCAAGACAACATGCTTTTTTGTTTCTCGATTTATGAGAAGGTACTAACCCAGACTCAGAGCCTACAAGTACCTGTCTAATAAACTAAGTAAAAAATGGTACAAATAGATAACATTGCAGTTTGGAGCATCAACAAACTACATTTTGATCAACATTATCATAAAATCAAACTGTCACATAGAATTGTTAATATGTGCCCATGGTGTCCAAAAATCTAAGGTTATTAACGCTCCAAAAATACCTTGACATAGGTCTCACCCATAGAAGATAACATAAAGAAACCACAATTGCCTTCATAAATGCAAAGTAACAAAAGTCTGCCCCGCGATCAAATTTTTGGCCCAAATGTGTGATAAGATAAGAGTAAGAAAAAGCTACTAAGTGAAAAGAGTAAATTAAAAATAATGATTATTTCACATAATGACAGTGATGGCGCAATCATTGGTTGGTTGGAATAATATAGTCGACTTTAGAAGCCTAGACAAAGGACTAAGAATTTTTGGTCCAAAGGGAAGTGTAATTGATAGTTTATTAGAATTAGTGTTATTATTATTTAATTTAAGAGTAATTGTTTGACTAGGAATATTAGTGAGAGTTTGATTAGGGATTATTATAGAATTTTAGTATTATAGGAGTTTAAGAGTTCGATTATGAAACTCTTTTAGAATTTTATTAGGAGAATAATTCCTATTTTGGTAGAGAGCTTGTCCTATAAATATCGATGTAATCCCCACTATTTTTATTAAAAATAATGATATAATAAAAAGTGTTTTTTATGAACAATTGTGTGTTTCTTGACCTAATCCTTGCGAGAGTTTAGTATCTCTTCTACTTTTTTATATTATCTTATTTCTTCTTCTTCCATCCTACATCAAACAGACACCATGATGTCTAATGGACCAGCGAGGCTTGAGTGAACAACAGGTTTCAGGCAATTGCACTTTATAGGCAGGTGGTCGCAATGGCCATTGGGTAGAGAAAAGAGAGGGAGTGTTAGAGATGAAGCAAGCAGTTAAGAGAATAATTCCATCTCCAAAGAAAGAAGCATTTTAAGGTCTGTCCATGGAGCATGGATTTTTATTCAAACCAACATATTTTTAAGTCTTATTGGAAGTGCAAAGAAATCTAAAAATAAAAAAATGCATGAAAAAATACACCTAAAACCTTATCAGAATAGGGACACAAGTTCTTTCCCAAAAGTCTTAAGAAAATGTACAACTCCGATGAACTATCTATAAATGCAAAGACAACCTAGTTGCAACGATTATAACGAGATACACCATTCGGAATCTCTCCAAGCTAGTCTTCTTGGAATGTTAAAGTTCCAAGTTCTCGCAATGGTCTACTTCTCCATGGATTTTTCTATGACTTTCCGAAGCGGTAAACTAAGTCTTCAACTCTATTGGTAGGAAACTACTGATCTTCACAGCCATTTTCCAAAACTCTTGTGCAAATATACACCCATGTAAACATCCAATTAAAATATGGTGCACTGAAACATGAGAAAATGCTGAGTAATCTCAAATATAGATCAACTACATCGCCTGGCATTTAGTGTCACACATAGATTCAGTCTAACAGAGGGAACATTGTACGTTCTCCTTTCTTTTTTAGGTTTTCTGTTCAAAGAAGGATTCCTCATTCTTCCACCCTTCGTACTAATTTGTTGCTAAGGAACAAAATTCTCAATTCTTAACCACCCACCCCCCCAAAAAAAAAAAATAATAAATAAAAAAGGATAAAAACATAAAAGAAGAAGAGGAAGGCATTTACCCCGAGCCAATCCTTTGCTACAAGCAGGCAAGTTTCTCTAGTATTTATAACAAATGGAACTACGTCTTGGCATCGTAAAGAAGCATTTATATCAGATCACTGGACACAGCATAAATCTACAAAGGTCTAGCCACAAACTTTGTGTGGAGGGAAAGGTGCGAAGGATAAATAGATTCCTGTACATGTTTGGCAAATACGGTCCGATATAGGTGTTGAAAAATATTGTATAGCATTCATATTGCTCAAAGATGTGGACTTCAGAAGTCATGATTGAATCACCTAAGAGGGGAAAATTACCTTCCTCCATAGAGAAGAAACCCGAGGGCCGCAGACAAAGATACACCTGCAGTATATATTGTTAGGAGCATATAGAGCGATAAGTTACAATTACAATATACAATCAATAATAATGTAAACTTAAGAACCATCTAGAAAAAAAAAACCTGCAAAGAACAGCTTGGACATGATAATCAAAACTCGGATAGGCTTCCACCATATAAGCAACCACAAAATAATCTGGCAGATATATATGTGAAAGTGTTATTGTTATGGCTGGTAAACAATATATACTTGCACCAGATATGCAATACAATGCTCATGTTCCCACTGTATGCACTTAACTGAAGGTAAAATCATCAAACAAATTGCACAATGTATCAAATTATTGGTGAGTGATAACAAACAAAAATTAGTAAAATAATAAGGCCATTGCCAGGACCACAAACAGGGTAAAACAGACATGAATGGTCCTCAACAAATCTCATCAAAATATGTACCCTTTGCCAAATCAAGCTGTACCTAATACTAATAGAAGGCTGAAGGATTACCTATCTCTGAGGTTGTAAAATAACATTTAGAATGTGTACAGGGAGAAGTACATGATATCCTAGCTGTGCAAAGAAAATTGCCAAGTAACGAATACTCAAAGAAAATTGCCAAGTAACGAATACTCATACTCTGACTGACGGGTGGACTCCATGAAACTTATATTCTAGCTTATATAAAAATTCTCTCCTCAAAACTTTCTGCATCATTTTCAAGAAGCCAAATCCGGTCGGCCCACCCAAACAAAAAAAACCATCTTGCCGACTAGCACAAGGTACATATTAATTTCCTCTTGAGAACTTGTACACATTTTCGAATTGAACTTTCTAAGCTTGTTGGTGCCCATTTGAACCAGCACCCTATTACCAATTGTCATGTTACACCCAACCTAAGAGTCCTACAAAATATTGTACAAGAATTCAATCAAACTTTTATGGCACCCTTTTAGTCACGACAAAAAGGCCAACAGATATTGCATAATATTCAACTCAAATCAACAACACTTTTATCCAACTAATTGCAGTCTGATATGTGAGTCTTACTTTTCAGTAAACCAAAAGCGATCATATCTTTCCTAACTATCTTGTTTTAAGTAAATTTCGACCTACCTCCACCTTTCGCATTTACTATTAAAATGTATCAAATCAAGGATCAAAATATTGTTTAGGTATACAGTTTTGGTCAACTCAAAAACTCGGTGGCAATAGATAAAAATTATGGAAACATGAAACATAAGTAAAATTCATTTATTTAAATAGATAAGCTTAATAATTGATTGATAGAACATGTTTATTGACTCGACATCCATTTATATAAGATAACATTAAGTTGCACATCACAAAACCAAATACACAATATCCATACTTTGTTTTTAATCAAAACCATATCCATACTTCAAATTAAAATAAGACTTGTATAACAATTTTTGTATCAATTATGTACAATTTATAAAAATTTATTATATAAAGGCTATAATTTACTAAATTACTAATTCAAATTGCGTCATAAAATTAGTAATTATTATTATTGCATTAAAATTTATAATTATTGTACAAGCATTATTTCAACATACATATTACATTAGTGTTAATTACAAATATTTAATAAAAATGCAATATGTCTAATATGATAATTATAGAAAACATTATAAACTTGCCCACACAATAGAGAAAAGAAACATAAATGAAAAAAACTAGGGGTGGGAATTAAATCAGACTAACAGACGCACACACACACACACACACGCACACACAGAGGAGTGAATAGGAACTAGGTCAATTAGGATGTGACTACCTATATAAAAATTAATTTCTAACACATTAATTAGGTCGTTAATTATGATTTTATATAATCAAAAGTTATTTTTAAAAATTTCAAACGAATAAATAGACCTCAGATATAGATTCTTTGCGTAAAAACAAGTCGAATGACTATAATATAGGTCATATTTCATGTCGAAATAAAAATGTCATAGTGTCTAAATGATATAATAGATGTGTAATATACATGATATATGTTATATTGCTTGTCAAGGGACAAGTGTCACATTAAAAAAAAAAAAGAAACCTATGTATAAAACATGGACAATTGTCCATGTGATGCAAGCAAAATGGCATCACCAAAAATGACGTTGGAAGCTAAATTTTGGTTATAAATAGCCTGTCCAAATGAGGAGCAAGTTGTAGAAAAAGGAGGAAAAAAGGGAGAGGGAGGAAGAGAAAGAGAGAAAAGGGAATGAAAGGGTGAAAATTTTGTCAAACGTAGGATTTTTGTTTTCACAATAAAAAATCTGGGTAAAATTTTTGGGGTATGAATTAATAATTTTTTAGGTTCAAATCACCTGAATTTGATCCTCGTTAAATATTTTCGGACCAAATTTGGGCATCGTTATATTTCGTTATTCACTCTAAAAATTATTTTTAATTTAGCTAAGTCATTATTACTTAGTTTTATTCTAAAATATTAATCCATTTATTTTGCCACAGTATACAATACTGATTTGAGTTGAGATAGCGTCGAATGTTGAGTTTCTTTTATCTTTTACTGTCATTAATGAACTCATGCATATTTGGGAGTTCTATATCAAACCTATGTTAATTATATAATACTAAATATTAGTTTGCATAATCCATAAGGTTGGATGTGAGTTTTACCTATAAATTGTGATATTTTTAGATCAAGACCCTAAATATCTTTTGGAACCAATTTGCATATAAAGTATCTTGGATTGTACTCTAACATATTTAGTTACAGTTTAACTTCTTACTTGATATTGGATTTGAATACGATGTGACCCTATTTTATGATTTTTTACGGATTTAACTTGAATGCACACAACTGATGATAGAGGATTAGGAGACGAGTTGTCCTTACAAGGATTGGCTGAATTTCTGGTATTGATGTTCCAATAAAAGCAAAAAGAGCATCAAGTTCTCTAAGGTACAAGACCCCAAAATTTTATCCGGAGATGGTTCATGCGTAAAGTAGAAAATTGACGAATTGTGTTTCTAAATGTGTTGAATTCCAGTGATGCTTAATTTGACTTATTGATGCGGTTATTTGATAATATATTTATGTATTATTTTAAAACCTTGATAGTCATTAATAAAAGTTATCCAAATAGGCTAGTAAGCTCACCCTAATTTATATTTTTCAGAAACAAGGTTGAATCCGGAGGAGTAAGCTAGGGAGGTCGCAACTAGAAGCTACTAATATTATTTTCTTTATTCCTTACAATGATGTTTTATTTGATCATGTTTTGATTATGTCGTATATATTAGCTCAAGAATGTAAAACTATCCAAGATATATTTTAATGATCTAATAATAATATAAGAAAGGTTATTATGTGTTATACATAGTTGTTTCATTGAAAACACTCGATTATTTTTTGTTAGAAAAAAATCGGGCTGTGACGACAAGTTTGCCACACCCAAAAATACAAATCTAAAAGAGAGAGAGATACAAATCACAAGACCAAGGAACATTAAGGAAAGAAAAATGAGAGAAGAAGACAGAAGAACAAGAAGAGAAAGGACGAAGAACCTACTTAGAGGCTGGATTTGCATAGATCTAGGTTCGGGACCTTCAGATAAGCTAAATCTGTCGTCTCTTTTTTATTTCTTCAGTATTTTTCCTCCTCTTATCTATCCTTTTATTTTTTTGCTCTTTTCCAGGTTGTGTTGGAGAAGGAAACAAAAAGGGAAGAATCGTTGTCGAGTCACCAATTTCAACAGAAACAGTACAAAACAATGGTGTTTCAATCAAAACTCTTGATTTTTCAGTTTCTTCCTCAGTTTCATGTTAGTGTTTTTAAAAACCAAAATTTTTTGTATGTTTCGAGCGTTGAGACGATATTTCAACGATATTATGATTCAAGCATTAAGTAAAGAGATAGTAGCTCAAGTGATACAAAGATTTAGAATAGTTCGGTCAATGTGACCTAAGTCCACAATGAAGGACTTGGAAGGCCTGATATTTTATTACTTTAAGGAGTGTAGGGAGAGCAAGGAGATACAAACTACAAGAGAGAGTAGAGAGTGATACCAAATGTGCTCGATTGTGTCTGATGCCTCCCAAAGTATTGGTAGGGCTTACAATTTATAGTTGTCTCCTAACAGATTGAGGCGGCTTATTAGTAACTAAAAAACAAATTTGGTAGAGGTGGCATCATGTTCGCAACGGATAAGGCTGTTGCGGGGCTTTCCTCAACATCAGGTCAAAGGATAAAGTGGTGGTTGACTCTCTCTAAAACGGCATAGATGAGGCTCTTGGATGATCCTGCTTACTCCCTTGATGTAGCTCCTCAAACTCTAATAAGTTTGACTGGGCGTGGACCTCTTTTAGGCTGGACCCACCGGATCTCTTCAAGTTAGACTCTTAATTTAAGCTAGGCTTATAACATGAGTTGTGCCCTTAGGCTTGACCCATCATTTGCCCTCCAATGCCCAATGTCCAATGAAACGTGGAGAAGAGGGCATTTGATTAAATCTAGATTTCGACTGACAGAGACTTCTCTTGACTGAAGACTCTTGTCCTTCCTGATATGTAAACTCCCTTTGCCCATAGGACATCTCCAGTTATATAAACTCCTCACTTTCTTCCCATTTGGATTCTAGAAGAACCCTAGGTTATAAATTGGAGTTTTTACTTTCATTTCTATTTCATTCAATCTTGAGAGAGAGCTCCTTCGTGAGGCTCTTCAAGAACAAAGGCAAGGGTGAGATCCCTGAGTTGAGTATTCAGAGGCAATGTCGATTAAAGAGGGGGAGACGCAAGCACCCACTGTCATCGAAGAAGGAGGAGCATGCATTGATCGAGTACCCAGAACCGGCGCGCAACCGAATTCCAGCGAGCCAAGGGGCGCTGTGGGTCACAGGGATATGAATGGAGCTCGAGCCATGGCTGGAGGTGATCTTGTGAATCAAGATGATGAAGAGGGGGCTCAAATGGGCGAGGTAATGCCTGTCAAGACGACCCAAGAAAAAGGTGGGCGACAGCGCCATGCCCACATTGCCATGGGTGCCTCTAAGTTGAGGGCACCAGGGGCATTTCTCGCCGACCATGGAAAAAGTGCCGAAGCCGAGGCACAGATCAGGGAGGGCGAGACCCATCAGGTCGACGCTAAGGGTCATGCACCACCATGGGCGCCATGCACTGGTGCGCTGATGAAGGGAGTTTATGATGAGGTGTCTTGGGTGACTGCATTAACAACGGGGTGCCGCTCGTGCTGGGTGAGGCTGATCTAGTGATGGGCGTTTATGGCGAGACACCACTGGTGCTGGGCAAGGCTGATCTGGCGACAAGCATTGATGGCGAGACGCCACTTGTGCTGGGCGAGGAGATCGCGGAGCATGACTAGGACTTCAGCACGCTGGGTATGGCTTGGTGAGTGCAAGGATCAAAATTTTGTTTGGTGCATTATTTCCGTTACCTAGAAAACGGAAACATTTCGACTTATTTTTGAAAAATTTTGATCCGTTTCGGAAATAAATGAAAAAAATAAAAAAAAAAAAGAATTAGTTTTATAAAACATTGGTCGAAATATAGCAAATTATCTTGAAATACCTTGAAATATTTTGAAATAAATATGCAAATCCATTGAAACATTACAAAACACCTTGAAGCATTATGAAACACCTTGACGTATTAAAATTTAGATTTCATCACTAATTCGTTTCGGTCTCCTTGTAAATAGAAACGTTTTGAACGTTTCAAAACGAAATTTTGATCCTTAGATAAGCGCTAATATGGTCCTGAGACAGGCTGGGCTTGGCCAGGTAGATGTAAAGGCAACGCCGAGGGTCACTAGGCGCAATCAAGCGGTGTTGTGCACAGCGGGGTCGTCATTGTTGGGCGAGCCAAGTGTGGTGGTGGTGGACACCAGACATGGATCTCCTGTAGTGGTCTTGACAATGCTTCTCGCCCTCGTAGCAACAAACATCAAGGGAAAACGGCTCTTGTTGACGACGGGTCAAAGGTAAGTACCATTTCTAACAACCTCAATACTGATGCTGATATTCTGTGGATTGTTTCCGCTTATAATATTCTCCCAACGGTGCTATGTCGTCAAGCTGAAATGGGTGAACCTGGTTGTGATGACTCCTCTAGAGACATTGCTATCTATGAGGAGGTGTTTGGGGCTGGGCTCAGATTCCCAATGCCTTCTTCTATTTGTCGTATTCTGCATTGCTTTTCATGGGCGCTAAGGCGGTTGGCGCCCAATGGTTGAAGAGTTCTGTTGAGGTTTCTGGCACTATGGAGAAAGGTGCATCATGAGGATACTTCTCCTTAAAAGTTCTGTGTAGCTTATACTTTGAGTGAGATTACTGTTCCCAATCGTGGTTGGTACTACTTTGCTTTGAGGGGAGGTAAATTGATCACCGGATTGCGCTCTAACTGTCATAGTTGGAAGACTCATTTTATATTTGTTGGTGGAGAGTGGGCTTCAGAGGCTAACAGAGCTATAGTTCCAACAAAATGGGACACGCCCAAGAGAATTGGTATGCCCATACTTATTATTTTTCCTTTGTCTTTTTTGCACATCCCCTACAGATTTTCCAGTGCTATCAAAAGATCAATAATGGAAGTTGCAGGCTGCCTGTGAAGGACTTTGGAGCTCTTATGCTCAAAGAGGGTGGAACTAAAGAGTCTGCAACTGGTAGTGCTATGATTGGTGCGCCCTCTTCGAGGCTTGGTGGTTCCACCCTAAAGAGAAAAAGGTACGTTGATTTCCTTGATTATCTTTCTTGGCTTGGTCTTACTTTAGGATAACACTTTATCCTTCTTGAAGTGGATAGGTCAACGTGGATGAAGTTCTTGGATGCCCATTCTTACTCCCTTGATGTAGCTCCTCGAACCTTGATGAGTTTGACTGGACATGGACCTCTTTTAGGCTGGACCACCCAAATCTCTTCAAGTTGGACTCTTAACTAAGCTGGGTTTATAACATGAGTTGGGCCTGACCCATCAGATAGATCATAACAATATCCAATATTTTCATCGTATGAATTGAATAATGCAAGAGCTGAAGCTTAAGGAATTTCAATAAGAAATGTGCAAATACTTCATTCATTTATACTCCTTGCCACTACCCCACACCCCACCCCCAAAAAAAAAACAAAAAAAAAAATAGAAAAATAACATGAAGTCATATTTTCTTTGCTGAAAAATGGAAGCCATACACTTCAAGTATACTTATACTATTTCAAAAATCTTGGACAAGTTTCTTGTTACTGTATTTGTGAATCATGCCTACGCCATATTCAAGGACTAAGGAGTATCTAAGAGTTGTTGGCCAAGCATCTCGAATTATAAAATCAACTTTGAGAGTATGTACAGGTCCAAAGAAGTGTTGAATTACGTTTATCAATGTCAAAAAATTGCCAAACTCCAAAACATGTCTTACACCGACACAGCTTCTCTATCGAAAAAGCTTTTTTGTCCTTGATGCCCAATTTACTCTAAGTCAAGTAAGGGGTCACCATCCTTAGTCATCTAACTGTCAAATGGTCAGTGGCCTATTTATTTATAGTACAATCACGTTGTTTGTTCATTCATTTGGACCCATCTTCCTATCAACCATTGATAAACTTTTGGCTGCACTCAGAGACTGTTAAAGCCACATATTAGAGTGGTCACAACTTTTCAAGAAGTACTCTTGGAAAGAAAAAGAAAATATACAAGCTGGTGAAGGGTCAGATTGGATCCTGATGAAGTCTTTGGGTTACAAATAATTATCACGTGATCTAAAAAGAACAGGGACCCACAGTTCATAGGTTTAATTTCAACTCAATAAATAACACTAATGCTAGGTCTATGCCCAACGTACCCCTCACAGACCCCCAATTATAGGGATTAATCCGGATGCTATTTTCTAATGTGTTTTCTGGAAAGCACAAAAGAAAAGGAATAATTTAAATCATAAGTATTTGCATATAAAGGAAGCCCTCTCCAATGGGAGCTGAAAGGCAGAGATACCTCTTATCAAATCATGACTTCATGCTCAATACAACAAGATACCAAGTATTTTCACGAAACACATAGGAGATCTAGGATTGAGCAGATCACACAAAGACGATAAAACTACCAAAACTTGCAACTAGGAGACCTTGTGCTGAACAGGACCTAGTAGCATAATCCAGTCACCATTAGGTAATATGTTTGTGACACGGGACATATTCCACCACCTTTTAAAGTAGCAGCTTTAATAACATCAATTCTAGATATCCATCAACATTCTCATGTATTCTTGACTTTTTAACTGCTGGCAAGACATGTGGTTACCTACAAGGTAGTAATATATTTCACACTTGCTCCTTTCTTAAATATCAAAGAACATAAACTGAACGAAGTTAATGTGGAAAAGCCTAGTCTGCAAATCTTCCCTTAAGAGAACGAAGATATGCCAATGTCCAAATAAACAAAGCAATCGATCCAAGCCATCTTAACTGCCCTATATATAAGGTAACCAAGCTGATTCCCTTCACAATAACTGCCACTCAGTGGTAAAAATTGACAGGGTTAAACATTTTTATTCTCTACACTATCCTAAGCAATCCAAGAATTAATCAATACAGAAGAAAAGGACTAAAAATGGACAGGCATTAAATGGTGATACTAGGATCTACAAACATAGATTATTCTCCTTTGCTGGTATTGATATGGAATTATGGACAAGAATTTTCACCTGAATGGCATACACAACCCCATTAATTGCAAAGAAATATGGTCTGAGTCCATCAGTTGACACAGCACGTGCCTGACAAATAGTGAATGCGAGGCATTTAATTTGACTCAATGATCATAAATAAAGCTAGGAAAACAAGTCAGGAGAACAAAAACTAGCCTGGTAGTATATTTCTGCCCAGAACAAAACCAAAAGCGCATAGGTTGTGAAGAACAAAAGACTTGGCATATCGAGCAAGATGTGTTGGAGAATCTACAAAAATAGCATCATAAGCTCGAAGTTCAGAAATAATTGTAGGCAGTCAATAAATATTAAAATGAATTACACTTTTCCTAACCTCTGGTTGCAACTTCTGAATATCTCGACGGAATATAAAAACTAACGATCTTACTGCCAAACAGTGACGAATCCCATTCTTAGTACATAGTCCAAGATATGAACTACATAAGAAATAAAATAAAGAGGCAAACCTCCATTGATGAAGAAGTTGAGAAAATGGAAGACTTTTTGCGTAGTCCAACCATACTCAGGCACTCTCAATTGTATCCGAATCAATTGTACCTAATATAATCAAACTCCATACGGTTAATCCTCATATATTAGCAAATGTTTCACCTCCAAACATCATTCTATTTTTGTAAATTCCCCTCCCCAATATATAAGCAAATGTATACGTCGATGCAAAGACGCACATTTCTTTTTTATTCTCTCATGAAAGGATACGTAATCTTTGTTTTTCTGTTCCAAACCAATTGTAACTAACCGCATGCATACGTTTATTTACTGATTTCCTACGTTATCTCATGAACAAAATGCAATGAATCAAAATCACAATCATTCAATTCGAACCCTAAACTCGAATTATTATGAAACAAACAAGAAATCAATAAAGAAGAACCTCGAGAAAATAGAACAGCAAACAAAACAACAGAAAATATTTTCTCGGGAAAAACGAATTCATTTCTGACGAGAAAAATGATTTACCAGAGCAACCACGGCGACGATTCCATAGAGTCCAGCGAGGATGTGAAATATACGATCTTGCCAAACGATGGACTCGTTAACTCGTTCCCACCAACTGCTCGCATCTTTCAGCCCATAAGACACAACCGCCGACGGTCCAACCACCGTCCGCCTCATGGCCTCCCTATACATAGAAACACTTCTCGCAAAAATTTCAGCAAATCTAATCAATGAAATTAAATACCGTTGTTTTCGTTATTCGTTATTAATGTGATCTTTTTTCCCGGAGAGAGGGATAGAGGAGTTCCCGGAATTTGAAGGAAGTTCAAAACAGCCGGCAAGGAAAGACAGGGAGGGTGGCTGGCTGGCTGGCTTGGGAATATTGTTTTTTTTTTCCGGTAAGTAAGCTTGGGAATATTGTTTTCGTGCGGTGCGTATCTGGAAAGCACAGGTGCAAGGTGACGCACCGGCTCTCCAGAGAGTTGCACGTGGATTTATTTTCCTCGTAGGTGGTGTCGAATCTTAGGACCGTTAAAGACAAGTCAAGATTGTATATTTTTTTAAATTTTTTTATGTGTAAATAGTTAAACGAATCACCTCGTTTATGTGTAAATTCAGTTCGATTTAAACTCGAATTCAGCTCAATTAACTCCCGTATCAAATACAACCATAGGTATTCAGCCCGAAAATCAACTAAGAAAGAGATCGAGTTAATGGATAATTGAATTAATTGGGGGTGACAATTGTGTCATAGTATATTTTTGGGTTTATATTGAGAATTAATTAATTTTAATTTAACCTGTTTAATTAATTGTGTCGAATTGAATCGACTTATTGATTTTTATGTCATATTCGTCTTGACCTATATAACTTGCTAATAAAAAATTTAATGCTCAAATATTAGTTTAAAATTTAATTATCAATTAATTGAACCTACGCTTATATTTTTCTATAAACTAAAAATTAATTTAATAATAATAATATAATAATAATAAGTAAAAATATTTTTTGTATAATAATTATGTCACTACTTGATAAAATATAATAAAAATTAATATTTTATTCATATAATATTAGTTAAACGTGTTAATCATGTTAATTTCATATTGTTCGTCTTTAATACTAACCCGACTCATTTATATATCTTGTTAATAGGTCATGTCATTTACGAGTTCGTGTTAAAAAATATTTAATCATTTGGTCAATTAATCGAACAAGTTATACAATTAGAATAAAACAAATTACGAATAATAATGAATATCTATATCTATATTTATTTATATATCTATATATATATATATATACTAATAATAAAAGTACACAATTAAGAAAAACTTTTGATTGACTAATTTAACCCTAAAACAATATATAAAGACAATACTAGCCTTATTTAATTTAAAACTCATATTAATAAGACTAGATTGATGTTAAACTTTTGATTGGACAACTTGACTCTCACAATACGAAAATTATTAATATGGAATTTATATTAATAAAACTTCATTAATATTACACATATTTAAGTCATTCATATTCTTTCTTTTAAAAGATAAAAATGAATTGTTAAAATAATTAATTTTACTATTATTTATTTCTATCTATTTTCATTAATTGATGACAAGTTTCTGAATTTTCAAATGAAATTACATAAATGCACTAGAATCTTATTTAATATAAGATTTATTTCAATATAATTTGGATAACATTATCAAAGCCTTACTTTTCATTTTCTTCTCTTTTATGTTTAGTTTTAATAAATCCTCTTTAGCTATGTTTATTGGTATTACTAGAAGCCATTTTATTTGTATAAATTATCAATGTTACGAATATGTTCAACATTACATTAAATTACTTATTACAACTTAGTTTTTAAAATTTGTTCAACCAATTGTTTATAATTAAATGACCACCATAATTTAAAATAGTTCACTTATGTATTTTTCATAATTTAATAAGTGTGTGTGATACTTTTTAGTTATATACACCGACATACTATAAAATATATTTATACCATTACTATGATATTGCAAATAAAATTAATTTATATAATTAACTTCATGTGAAAAGTTATAAATTTTAAGGGTAGAGATTTATAAGCATGTAATTCATCAAACTTAAGAGCAAATAAAACAATAAAAACTAATATTCATTCATTTTGCAAATATGTATTGTTATGTCTATAACAAATTACACAATTTATATAATAGAAATATTCAAAAGGTTAGATTTATAAGTAGGTATTTGCTACTATATTTATTTAATTATTTCAAAAACAAAACCATAACTTAAAAAGTCCACGTTCAAAGCACGTGTGCACAATCTAGTGCCTTAAAAAGCAATAAGGTAACTCAAGATCATAGTAAATGATGCGGGAAAATTTAATCTCAAATAAGAAAAAGGTCCTAGGCACTATCTTTAGAAATGCAATCGTTGACTGGCCTATTAGAGAGAACGAAAAGTTGGAAGAATAATGAGCTCAAATAATTAGTTTTTTCCAACCTGGTAGGATGAAGAAACCAGAAGGTTGGCAAAAAGTATCCCAAATTTTTAAATAGGAAACTTATCTGCCAAAGACTCATTCAACAGGCGAGATTCGTTTTAATACTACGAAGAAGATAAGGTAGCCAAGTGATAAGGATAAGATCTCACTATCGGCAAACCTTATCTGTATGATCAAATAAACTCCTCGTATAGTTAGGACTCTGGATGGTTATCCCAACAAAGGATAAAATCCACAAAAAGCCAAGACTCCTCAACCGAAAGGGGATTAGGCAAATTCAAACTATTAGGAGAGCCTAGAGTCCACTTTTCCTGAAAACAACTATAAAAATACTAGAAAAGGAGGCCTCCGGGCTAAGACTCAGGTAAGCACACTAAGCTCAATTCAATTGTTGTACCTTGTTTTCTCAAAAAATGACTCGAGTGTTGGAGGGTCGACCTCGGTGGACCCCTTCGGTCTTCGACTTTCTTTTCAAAAACCATAACTATCGAAAACCTCATCTAGATCTCAGGGAAAGATGTAGCAAGGCCCAGATCAACCTCAAACAGCTTTTAGAACATTTGAACATATTTTTTACTCCAATAGTTTGGTGTCGTCTGTGAGAAATAGCTTGACAACCAAAATTATTTCTCAATTTTACTATACAACGGTACACCGCTACTATAACAGAAAAGTCAAGATTTGCAAATTTGCCCAAGGTGACTTGGTTCTAAAAAAAAGGTAACCCAAGCCTCCAAGGATCCTAAGCATGGAAAGTTGGGTCCGAACTGGGAAGGGCCTTATCAAGTTAATCAGATGATAATGCCTGGAATGTATAAGCTGTAGATATGGAATGGGAAAAAGCTGACACATGCTTGGAATACCGAACACCTTAAAAAGTACTATTAGTGATAATGGCTTTCTAAAAGCATAAATAAGGATGGTAGTTCATCTTTCTCACTTTGTTTTCTTTATGTCATTTGTAATGATCCTTGTGGCAAACTTTTCTTATAAGAAAGTTATCAATAAATGATATTTGTTTCATCTCTTAGAAATCTTTTTTGTGAATCTCATGTCAAAAAAATCTCAAGAAAGCTCAATTTAGAGGAAACCAGACTTTCAGAAAGAAGGCACCTTATTCCAAAAATGTTGAAAAGAGGAGAGCACCTTTAAAGAAAGCATCTATCTCTAGTAGAGCAAAAAAAAAAAAAAATTAAAAGGCCTTCCATTCACTAGATCGAAAAAGATCTAGCCCCGTCTAAGCTTGCTAGGGACCAACTTGGTTAACACCAATTATACAGTTGGCAATACTCCAAACTCAACAAAATACTCTCAATATAGAGCAGAGAGGAACACTGCCAGGGTGGGAAACCTAGTAAGCTTGACCTCCAAAAAAAGGAAATTAAAAAACCCAAAAAATAGCAAGGCAAAAATAACCTAAGCAAGAGCAATATAAAGAAAGAGTCATTTATAGAAACTACCATGCTACTTTCATTAATGAGTTAAAAGTTTGTTTACAAAAAAACTCAAAAGTCTAAAAAAAAAGAGAGAGTAGAATAGTTTCTTATAAACCTAATCCTCACCATCATTTTGGCTAGAAATCCTCCTAATCAAAATCACCTTCACCCTCCTCAATAGAAAGAATAACAAGGGGGTAGCAAAGAAGGCAATTGAGAGAGCAGCAAAAGTATAATTGGGATAGAAGGGTCAAGTTGGTTGCTGAAAAAATCAATATTGGGGTAAAGTGTCATAGCATACTAGCAAAAATCTTCAAAACCAGTATCTCAGTAGCTCATCTCAAGCTCGAGAAATTTAGAAGACTTCTTGAAATTCTCTATTGCTTCGTCAATAGCTTTCTTCATGACAGTTTTGGCTTCATCATTCATGGATGGAAGTTAGTTGACCATATCCTTCTCAGCTTTTTTGACCTTCTTTACATCTTCTTGGGTCTTCCTTAAAGCATACTCCACACCACTTTCGCAGTTTTCTCAATCTCTGAAAAGTTCTTAATATTATCTAAGTCAGCTTGCAAAGACACTAACTCCTTCTCACAAGAATAAAGAATCTTCTTCAAAGACAAAGTCTAAGAAAGAGCTTTCTCCAGCTGCTCCTTGATTGGATTCTCTTTCATAAAAGTTAGACAGCTCATTGTAGCACCAAGAATGGCCAGCTGAAACAAAGAAAGTCTATATTAGAATAAGAACATGGAAGAATAGGGAGAAGAGAGGAAATATGCACTACTTTCCCAAAGTGATAAGCCATGGACTCAAAATCTTCAAAACCAGTATCCCATTAGCTCATCTTAAGCTCGAGAAATTTAGAAGACTTCTTGAAATTATCTACTGCTTTGTCAATAGCTTTCTTCATGATAGTTTTGGCTTCATCTTTCATGGAGGAAAGTTGGTTGACCATATCCTTCTCAGCTTTTTTGACCTTCTTGACATCTTCTTGGGTCTTCCTTAAAGCCTCCTCCACACCACTTTTTGCAGTTTTCTCAATCTCTAAGGAGTTCTTGATATTATCTAAGTCAACTTGCACAGACATCAACTCCTTCTCACGGGAATAAAGAATCTTCTTCAAAGACAAAGTCTAAGAAAGAGCTTTCTCCAGCTGCTCCTTGATTGGATTCTCTTTCATAAAAGTCAGACAACTCATTGTAGCACCAAGAATGGCCAGTTGAAACAAAGAAAGTCCATATTAGAATAAGAACATGGAAGAATAGGGAGAAGAGAGGAAATATGCACTACTTTCCCAAAGTGATGAGCCATGGAGTCAAAAACTTTTAGAGACCCTATCTTCATTATCTTCTCCACATTTGCCCATGG